AAAAAAAAAAAAAAAGCAAGCTATAATTTGGCACATGTTGTTGCCCCGTGGCTATGGGTCAGGCATGTCGTCAGGGATGTCTGAACCCCGTAGCAGATGCTCCCACATGCAGCCTGTGCTTGGCAAGGGCAGCTCTGCAGCAGAAGCTGCTGAGGAAATGGCTTTCAGCAACAGGCTGAACATCTGGGTTGCCATGGGGCTTCGCTTTTAGCCGGGTAAAATGTCTCCTGGCTTAATGCTTTGCAGATGTATCTGATTTTTTTTTTTTTTTTCCTCAAGGACTGACACCTTTGAAAGAAACCCCTCGTGTAGGCAGAGCCTCCCTGTGTGTTTTGCCACTTTATTCAACTGATTTCTCCGAGGAGAGAATTCCCTCCTTGGCAGAGCGGAAAACTAACATTCTTTAATATATTAAGGCACCAAGGGGCTCATTAACACCGTAATGTGGCTTCTAATTATTTTCTTTAGGGGTGGGAACAAGCCGTGTTCACTGTGCTCTATGGGAAGAACGTTCTTGGGCTTTTTTAGTTTTTTGGGGGGTTTTTCTTAAACCCAGGGTGACTATTTTAAACTCGAGGTGCTACTAATTTCTCGGCAAGTAACAAAGAGCAGAGCCACAAAGCCGGGTGGGGATGGAGGTGTAACAGAGGCCGATGTGGTCCCCAGGGAGGAGGAGGAGGGAGCGGGAGCATCCCTGGGAGCATCCTCGGAAAGCTCCCGCCTGCGTGTGAAATAATTAGTCCGATTGTCTGCTTCCTCGTCAAGGGGAGGCTCGAATGGATGCGAAGTGATGCCTTCATCTGGCCTTTTGACGGCGATCCATTAAATTGCTGTCAAGCTGCACGTCTCTCACGTAGGGGCTGGGAAAGTCAAGTCGTCGCAGGCGGCTGGATGGGCAGAGCCAGGCGAGGGGAGGGGGCTCGACTGGGGGATGCTCGAGGAGGAAAGGGGCTCCTTGCTGCCTTTCTCTCGCCCTTCGCTCCGGCTCGGGGGATGAGGGCATGTGAAAATACGTGGCTAAGGGTGATCATCAGTTCCACGCGCGTGTGTGCGTGCGAGGGGCAGCGCAGAAATGCAGGCTCGGTGCATCCGCGAAGGTGTCGGGAAATTGCGATGGGAAGAAGCTGGAAAAGGGGGGGATGTAAGACTAACTTAGAACATGTGGTGTGGGCTTCCGGGAGCAGGAGGTGCGGGGGAATCATTCTTAGGAAGAGACAGTAAAAATGCCTGAAACAGAGAGATGGCTAGTTTATCTAACCTATTATAGAAACAAATTTCCTTCCTTTTTTTTTTTTTTGGCTTCCTTCCACCCACTCCAGTGAAGCATGAGAGTGCACTGACACCAGCTTTCTAGCAGATAGAAGGCACAAGTGCTGAGATACTTCTCAATATTCTGATTGAGCCTTTCGAAAGACATCCCTGACCTTGACTTACCTGGGTAGATGTTGATAACGAGTAATGAATATGCATTGAAATCCCTGATAGCTTTCCTGCAGTGGTGAAAAGAAATGATGAATTAGGTCTTTGTGAAGCACTGGTAGCAAAACACTGGTTTCTGTTACATCCCTGATGCAAAGTTTCCTGGAGGCTTTTGTGATCTAGCTGGGTTTGGGCTCAGGTTCCTGATAAGAAGTTGCGCTGCTTGATGCCCTGGTGTTTTGGGAAGTGCTTCCCGGGTCTGTAAACAGATGCTTTTTCACGGTCCGAAGGGAACCTGAATCTTTCCTTTGGCAGCAAACCAAACTGGGGGGAGATTCCTCAAATACAGGTGTTTAACTCCTGCAGCACCCTTTGGAGGTGGCATGTGTGCGCCAGTGCAGCGCCAGCCCTGGGACTGTCTCAGCTGTCTGGAGCCAAAGGGACATGAACAGTACCTGGCATTGTCCCCGTCCTCTCGGAATGCTGTTATTTTAGTGGTCACAAATCCTCTTGGTTCTGCTCTTTGAGATTCTTTGTCTGCTGGCAGGTAGGGAAAGGAGGATTTTCTTTATTCAGGTATAATTCCCTCCCCCGTGCCTTTATTTAGAATGTGGTTGGGTTTTGTGCAGAAAAAAGACTTGCACCCATAGGTTGGTTGAGGATATGAGGCTGTTGGAGTAGAAAAAAAAATGCTTTTTCTGGATACATGGAATAGCTCCCTTGGTACCCCAGCATGCAAAAATCAAGTGTTTGCTGCTGAAATCAGTGGGAGCCGGCCTGAGCTTTTCAAATGCGGCACCGGGGGTGCAGGTCACACAAAGGGAGCAAGTGTGAGGGCAGCCCCAGCCTGAGGAATGTGGAATATTTAGGGGGGAAAAAAAAAAATCTTTTAGGTAGTTTTGTCATCTCTTGCCTGCTGAGTCTGCCTTGGTGAGACAGCCAAGCAGATGATGGGTGGCTCTTCTCTGTCCTTCTGGATACCAGCGCTGTAACTCTTCCTTGTGGCCTTAATTGCTTTCTTTAGCTGTTGGATTTCTTTTTTTTTTTTTTTTTTTTTTTTTTTCCTTGGAAAGGGAGGGAAATCCCACGTGCTTTGCACACACTCTGGATACTTCTCGGTTTGTTTACCCTTCCCAGATCTTCACTGAGAGAAATCTACCCCAACCCACTGCCCCGACTCCCTTCCCGGGGAACCCCTCGCATTCCCAGATGGCTCTGCCACCCTCCCCTGGTCCCACCTGTGGGCAGCTGGGACGGGCAGGCAGAGCTCTGAGCCCAGACCATAATTAAGCCGCGTTTTTATGGCTCTGCCACCAGCCGCTCACTCCCTGCATTCCTTTCCCGTGAGGTCTCTGGCCTCGCTGGGTGGATTGGAGGGTGGGTGAGAAATCCCCCGGAGGGTCTCGCCTATCGGGGCTGGTCTCTGCCTTAGCCGGGAGGGCTCTTGGTGTGTCACGTCGGGCAGCATGAAAGGCGGCTGGCTAATCCAAATTCCATTAGGCATCGTTAAGATCTTCCTTTCCCCTATTTAAAGTGCTTGGCACTGTGCCTTGGCCTTTGGTGTGTGTAGCATCATGTGAGAAGCAATTCTGTAGGGCAAACCCTGGAGAGAAGCAGGTGTGAGATGGGGGGGGGAGGGATGCTGCCACATTACCTGGTCCATGGGGACTGTGGTCTGGGTGCATCCTGTGGCACTGGGACTGGGCTGTGAAGGACTGAAAAAATTCCTAAACTGCATTCTCAGTCCTGTAACCTCAGTAATTTCCTCTGAACTGAACCAGGAATTTACTTTCTAAAGGATTAATGGAGGGAAATGCAGTTCACTTGGGCAGCTCAACAGCTGATTTGTCTGCATTTTGGTCATGCCATTTGGGTGAATTGCAGAGGAGTTCCTCTTCACTTGCCAAGTCATTACTAAGTGATGCCTCTGGACTTACTTTCAGCTGTTTGACGTGGACCCTTTTTACACCACCACCAAGAAAACCCCCAGCTTAAAACAGACTTATGGAGAAAAAGGGATAAGTCACTTAGATACCTGCTTTTAAATACTGGTGGTTCTGCAGTCCTCGTGCCCTGCTTGTCTACAGAGAAAAGTGACTTGGTGTATGCGTATCAGCTAAAAGGCTAGCAAAAGTTTTTGGAAGGTGGTGGTCTTTGTGGGTGAAGATGTTGGAGCAGACCTGGTATCTCGGCACAGCAGCCGTGAATGAAGTGCGCTGCTGGTGCGGATTGCACTAGACTCCTTGACCATTCTCTAGTTTTTCACAGAACTGGCCAAACTGTGGGAATGGGAGGTTGTTTTTGCATTGATATTTTTTTTTTACCTTTTTTTTCCCCCGATGGGGAAACTGAGGCACAGAGGTCCTTCAGGGAGCCTGAGGCAGCGGCTGGTTCCATGCCCACTCTGCGGCCATCAGGATGTTCTCCTCTTGCCATGGCTGTCAGGCTGTGACTCCTGTTCCCCAGTTTGGCTGGCACCAGGGTGAATTTGGGTCAGCACGGCTTAGCTGGGGCAGTTGTCTCAGTGGTGGGCAGCTACAGAGCCATCCACCTTGTCCCCTGCTCTCACATATGGTTGTTCAGCAGGTCCCATTGCCAAAAGAAGCCAGTGGATTCACCTCATCAAGGTTTTGGTTGTCCAGGCTCCTGAGAGGGAGATAATAGGAGATATTCCAGAGATGATGGTACAAGGGGAGCAGAGGCTCTGTGTTCCTCTAGCTGCTGAAGGACCTGGGGGAAGGCTGCTGTGTCAAGAGTGAGTCCTGTGTAGGATTTATACAGGATGAGCCGGAGGATTAACGGCTGCTTATGTTATTCTTTCTCCTCCTTGTAGCCTGTGGGCCGCAGCTTGCCAATTCTCCCACTGTGATAGTGATGGTTGGCCTCCCAGCCCGTGGGAAGACCTACATCTCCAAGAAGCTCACTCGCTACCTCAACTGGATCGGTGTCCCAACAAAAGGTGAGGCTTTCACTGGCTGCCTGGGGAAAGCATGATTCTGGTCCTCAGGAGTTGCTCTAGGAGCTCAGTGTCTTGGGGGCTGGGAGGGAGTGGGGGATCTTTCCAAGATCCCATGGGTCAAATATCCACGTCTGCCTATCGCTTCTGCTGCAGCCCAGGTTCTCCTTCACTTTGAAGAGCAAGGGATGTCCCTGAGCCTTTTGCTCTAAGGATGTCAATCCTTGGCCCATTGCTAGAAATCATGATCTGCAGAAACAGCACAGCTGAGTCTGTGCTGACGCCTGCTCCTGGTTTTGATGGTCTCTGTCTTTCCCATGCAGTTTTCAACGTGGGGGAGTATCGCCGCGAGGCGGTGAGGCACTACAGCTCCTATGACTTCTTCCGCCCTGACAACGAGGAGGCCATGAAAGTCAGAAGGTAAGTGCGGGCACTGGGTGACGAAGCCCATGGCTGGCAGCAGGGTTACCCAGCTTGTTTGCAGGGTGATCAACAGAAAAGTGGGGCTCTAGCTTGAATTTCCCCTGCCAGCCCAAGAAGGGCCTGACTTGGGTGGGTGCCAGGAGCTGAAAACTGAAGGTGTATGGGCTTGGTGATGCAGGGTATGAGGTCTGCCATGAGGCTTGGCTTTTGCTTCTTCATCAAACTTTGCCTCTGCTGTGAAGACCAGCATGCTGCTCGGCGTGCATGGCTCTTGTATTTTTGGTAGACTGAGGGTGTCTTTCCTAAATGTCCCCTGAAAGGAGGGGAGGTGGTGAGGAGGAGCTGCAAAGCCTGCCTGCCTTTATAGAGGTCTGTGCACTGGCTGCCACAAGCATCTCTAGGGACATCAGGACCATGTGTCTCGCCTCTTTTGCAGGCAGTGTGCCCTGGCTGCCTTGAGGGATGTCAAGCTGTACCTGACGGAGGAGGCTGGCCAGATTGCGGTAAGCTCAGAGATGTGCTCCGTGGGGTTCGGCAGCAAGTCCTGGTCCTGAAGGCGCTGTGTCCCCGTGCAGTTAGCTCTGCAGTTCCTTCTCTGAGGAAGGGCTCAGTGGGAAACCAGGCACTCCTGGTGCTAATCAAAATCTTTGCTTTTAAAGGTTTTTGATGCCACCAATACCACGCGGGAGAGGAGAGGGATGATCCTAAACTTTGCCAAAGAAAACGGGTTCAAGGTTGGTACCATCAGGCTGCTGCCTCTGTTGCATGGTCCGTGTGTTGTCCTCATGATGCTCCTATGTAAGGGAGATTTAATTGCTGGGTTTGATCAAAAATATGAAACTCTTCCCTCATTCCTGGTCCCAAGCCTCAAAGGAGGAAAGGATGGGAGTGGGGTGGAGGATGAACTCTCCTGGTCAAGCAGGGAGGAGCTGGCTGGGTTGAGCAAGGAGCTGGTTGGATGTTATAAACCTTATTGCTGGGCTTCAGGTGAGCTTTGCTTTGCTTCGCAGGTGTTCTTCATTGAATCTGTCTGCAATGATCCCACGGTAGTTGCCACCAACGTTATGGTAAGTGTGGAAACATCTTGCTTTTCTTTTCTCTTGTGTAGGATTTTTTTACCTGCACCTGTCTGGTTTCTTATCAGAATGTCTTGCCGAAGTTGGTTGAGGATTAGGAGGCTTTTATCTCTTTATGATGTATTTGTCCTGGGATGAGAAAGGAGCTTTTGTGTCCTAGGATCCAGGGCCACCTGGAAGTAATAGAGTAGAAGTTGTTGGAGCCTTTCCCCAGCTCCCCTCTATGCTCTCTGCGTTTCTGTTGATCTATAACTTGCTAATAAGGACAGAAAGGATTCAGGATGCTTTGGTGACCCCTTGAAATCCCACATTTTGGATGTGAGGGATGCAGTCAGGGCTTTAAATCCCATTAGAGAGCAGTCAGACTTGATGTCTTCAGCCACATGGAACTTCCTAATAAAAAATAATCTACTGGGGTCTGCTCTGAGAAGAATAACAGCTCAGAGGTTTCTCGAGACAAGCTGAAGTCTTGACTGGGAGGACAGCATAAAACATTGCCTCCTGGCTCCTCTGGGAGCTGATGGATCTTTGATTTCCCACAAGCAGAAGAGCTCCTTTGCCCGTTAGGCTTGGCGAGGGCAGGTAGATGTTAATTGGTCTACCTAGGCATGATAAACTTGAACAGAAGTGTCCTTTCCTCCACTGGGCTCTGCTCCAGCCTTATCTCTGGTTGTACACCTGAACTTTGTGAGCCATTTTATGGTGCCGGGGAGTGTGTTGCAGGGTACCCAAAGTCTACAGGAAGGGTGTTTTTTTTTTTCTGCCCCTGGGATGGGCTCCACAAAGGGTGCTGGGGTTGGGGCTAGAGCATGGCTTTTGCTCTGGCTGGGAGCTGATGTCTCATGGCCAGTGACCAGCTTTTTGGGAGGTTGCACACAGCCTTTTGCATAATAAATGCTTTGCTCCATCTTTTTTTTCTTTGTAACACCCTGAAGCTGGATTTTTTTTTTTTTTTGACAATTGAATCCCTTTTTTTGGTAACTAATACTTAAAGGGGGAGGAAATGAACTACAAGCTGAGCATAGGTTTTTGCTCCATGGGATGCTGCAGATGAATGGTGTGAAGTGCTGGGATCAGTGTGGAAATTACGCTGCAGGCCTGGGGTGTTGCTGCGTGTGTCGCTCGATTGTGCTATCCTGTTGGTTTCAGGATTCCTTATGAAGCTGCTAATGTGTAATGCTGCTGCTCAAACCCAAATCTTCAGGAAAACCAGCATGTTAGAGTAGTTCAGGCAGAACTTAGTCCATGAGAATTCTGGACACTGACATTGCCCATTTCTAGCATCTTTCAGCTTGTAGCAAATAGCGCACAGAAGGGTGTTGAATGTTGTTATCCTGCCACCTCAGGTGATGGACAGCCAGGTTGACCTCTGCCTCCTGGGAGCTTTATTCACTCAGAAGGCCCAGGATAAGCATCTTGTCTAAGTGTGTGCGCTTTCCATTCTCAGCTTGAATTGTTTTAAATTCTTCACCACTGTCTTGGGTGGTGAAGTGCCACCCCAGCTCTTGGGAGAACTGGTGTGGACTGATGCATCTAGACCAGTCATGCAATGGTTTATACCGGATTGTCTCACCTTGTGCTTAGTTTTGGGTCTGCTTTGCTGCATTTCTGTCCCATGATAAGTGATGACTATAAAGTGGCTCACCTGATAGCTGGATCTTGGGAGGACTTTGACATTTGAGATTAGCGTGGTCTGGTTTGGAAAGCTTCCTAACCTCTCCTTGCGGCACATTTTTTCTTCTGTTGCAGGAAGTAAAATTGTCGAGCCCTGATTACCGGGACTGTAATTCGACCGATGCCATGGAGGACTTCATGAAGAGGATCAATTGTTACCAAGCCAGCTACCAGCCGCTTGACCCTGATGACTATGACCGGTAAGAGACTTTTCTGAATTCTGAACTGGCTTGAATGCCTTTCTTCTCCCAGGAGAGTAGTAACAAAGTGCAGAGCTGTATTTCACTTTTGTATTCAAATACGTGACTGTGCTAGAATAATGTATGGCTGGACCATACAGTCAGCTTCCTCCTTGAAAATGCTGGTTTTCCCCAGCCCTGTGCCAGGGAGCTGGGCTCTGAAGATTTCCCAGGCTCTTCCGGGCTCAGATACACTGGTTCTGCAGGTCTAAATACAAAGGTTTTGGACAAGCGGTTTGGTTTGAGTGTTTCTGAGGTGCCTTTGTCAGTTAAAGGAAGGGACTGCTTGAACAAGCTCAAACCACAAGGTTGAGCAAGCCCTGTGATTTCCATCTACTTGTGTGCCCTGGAAAGACCTTTGCTGTCCTGCATGACCACGCAGGCACCTCCCAGCATTTCCACTGCTCAGAAATACATCCATGTGCCCTGTGTGGATAATCCCAGTCCTGCTGAGCCCTGTCCTGAGGATGAACGTGCCTCCTGCTAGTCCTGTTTAATCCTCTTTGCTGCAAGGAGGAGCGGCGATTACATTGGTGTTACTTAGCTCTCCATGAATTGCAGTTACCTGTTGGCTTCCTGTTGAAAATAGCCTGCAGGAAATCCTTTTAGCTGGGTGATTGTGTCGACTGAGATATCATCCTTGAAAAACAGCCCACTGGCAACAGCCTTATCCTTGCTGTGCTTTTCCTAGGGAGCTTTCTCTCATCAAAGTCATCGACGTTGGCCGGCGGTTCCTGGTCAACAGGGTTCAGGATCACATCCAGAGCAGGATCGTTTACTACCTGATGAACATCCATGTCCAGCCCCGCACCATTTATCTCTGTCGGCATGGCGAGAGCGAGTTCAACCTCAAGGGGAAGATTGGAGGTGACTCGGGCCTCTCCAACAGGGGCAAGAAGGTAAGGGGGAAGGGATTATTCCTCTACGGCTTCTAGGAGTGATTTGGCTGTAGCAGATGCCATGTGTTTGGTTAAGTGTGTATTTGATGACAGCTGGGGTGCTCAGAGGACTCATCTATAGGGCTGGTTAAATTTACGCTTGGGCATGTCCTCAAAAGAACACTTTCCAGCCATTGATGTTGCACGTAGTTAGGGGGGTTGGGCTGCAGGAATCTGTAGGAGGGAAGGGTATGAGCATCTTCATGGAGATGGTTCAGACTTTGCCCGGGCAGGGCGGGATGTGGAAGGGCTGCTGCCACCCTTGGGTCAGGATAGGCACCTCTGAGGGTGCTTTCACATTGCTCACTACTTGAGTCTTCAAAGGTGTATCGAGCACAGTGCTTCAGGGAGGGTTAAAAACTCTTCTGGCTTGCCCAACCTGCGGGGGTCTCTGTCTTCTCATGGGGGATCAGGAACGACGCAACACCAGTAGGATCAGATCGTTCGTTTATTCCCTGATCCTGGTTATGTTTATATTACACTAAGTTCCGTACACGTGCTCATCTGTCCTCTGATAGGCTGCATGCTATCTGCACGTGCTGTTCAGGCACTTCTGCAAGCATTTGCATTGGTTGTATTTGGGTACATGCAACCCGAAATTTGCCAAACTTTCTTATCTTATGTCCTGTTTTGCTCAAACTTGTGTGCTTTTTGTTGGCCACAGCTATTCCTCCTTTTGCTGACCACAGCTATTCCTACCTTATTTGCTGACTTTGCCTTCATCCTTGCATTTTCCTGTCTGCATTAACTTCCATCTAATGCAGCCCAGACTCCTACACGAAACCATTCTGAAATCCAGATGAAGTTGTTTTTGAGGTGTGACTGTTACCAAGGACTACAGGATACATTGTGATTTAGCTCCATGACAAATAAACAGAGCTGTGGCTGAGGCTGGCTGGGGATCTTCCATGGTATTGTAGGAGAGCCCAGGCGTTAGGTTGCTGCTTTCTCCTTTGCTGTTCTGTCTGTTCTCACACCCTGCATAGCTTTTGGAGATCATTGAGTGTGTGGCTGCTCTTCACCTCAGAGCAGAAGGCTAATATATCTGCCTATGGAAGGCAAAAGAGGTGGTGGAGAAGGCAACATTTACTGGGAAGCAGGGAGGAAGGCCCAGCTGTGGGTCAGGAACGAACCTTTTTTATGTCCCACAGTTTGCACTGGCACTGAACGAGTTTGTTGAGGAGCAGAACCTGAAAGACCTCAAAGTTTGGACCAGCCAGTTAAAGAGGACGATCCAAACAGCAGAAGCTCTCCAACTGCCCTATGAGCAGTGGAAGGCACTCAATGAAATAGATGCTGTAAGTATCTTTGATCGTAGTAGGAACAGCTGGAGCATGTTGGTTGCTGCTTGGCAGAGAGGGTGATAACACCGGCCTTTTCACTTTTGCCTAAATCTTGCCTTTTGTAGTGGGATTTTCCTTCTGTGGAAAGGGTGGTACTTCTGCTGCAGTGCTCATAACTAGCCTTCTGATCTTACCTCAGTCTTGTGCAGGCACTTCAAGACGTTGGCTTGAGTGAATAGATTAAAATTATTTTTCTTTTTTTTTGCGGAGGGTTACAGACAATTGCTTTGGAGAGGGTTTTGCATGTTGGGTGTGCTGATGCTTTTTGACTTGGGCATGTCCAGTAACTTCGTGGATGTTCCGTTCTGGCAGGGTGTGTGTGAAGAAATGACGTATGAAGAAATCAGGGAGCAGCATCCAGAGGAATTTGCTTTACGTGATCAGGACAAATATTACTACCGCTATCCTTCTGGGGAGGTAGGTCTGCAAGGAGACCTTCAGAGATGTGACTCTTACTTTAAAGGTGTCATTCTTGTCTCCATGCTGTCCTCTACACTCAGAGCAGGGGAGCAGCAAGTGCTGCAAGAAACTAGAATCAAGAAAGGTCAGGCCTTATCTTTTGCACTGAGCTCTTGTGAAATCACGGTATGTGAAGATCTCAAGGAATGTATCGCTTCACAAACAGTCCCACTGACATCATAGCAAATTACTAGGAAGGGGCCTCTGGGAGTTTCTAGTCCAACCTCCTTCGTTGCATCCACTCAATGTTGAGCTACCCCAATTTCCGTTTCATTTCCAAAGAAACAATTTCTACCTCTGCTCTCAGGATCATTCCCTAAGGGTTGGTGTTTATCTCTGTTCCTGGCAATCTGCTTTCAGGGCGTGACACAATGAGGTGGGAATTGACCTCAGTCCTAGGTGATACTTTAGTTGTGAATTGGGTTTTTTATCCCTGAATTAAAAGTCAGGTCCACAGACATTTGGAGACATCATTAGGAGGTCTCCAAAAATAAATTTTTGGAGACATCCTAATGCCAGTGTCTCTAACAGGAGAATGTTTGGGGATGTCTGATGCTGACTCTGGGTGTCTGGGCTTCCTTCTGGTTGGCTGTCATGGTTTGTCAGGAAGTTGTTCAAAGCTCTGGAAATTTTCAGGATGCTCCCGACTTCTCGGAACTCAAAAATCCTGTAGAAAAATCAAATTTCCAGATGCCAGACAGACATTATGCTAAAGCCCCTGTGCTTACTTTAATAAACTCTCCATGACTATGACTGAGATGTGAATAGCTGCTTTCTCCTTCTGTCAGAAGTATGTTCTATGTTCTAGAGTAGCCCAAAGATGAGGATTTGTTGAATATTGCATGTTTTTAGAAGTAATTATGTTTGTTTAATCAGAGGCATCAAATAATAAGACAGGGACCATTGTTTCTTGTGAGGTGCTTGTTTTATTGATTCTATGCCACATCCCCCCTCCCTTCTTCTGTCTCAGTCCTACCAAGATCTGGTGCAACGCCTAGAGCCGGTCATCATGGAGCTGGAGAGGCAAGAGAACGTCCTTGTGATCTGTCACCAGGCCGTCATGCGCTGTCTCCTGGCATACTTTCTGGACAAGAGTGCAGGTGAACATCCTGTCCCTGGGAAGAAGATTGATCCTGCTGGAGAGTAGGATGGAGCTCTGAGGAGATGAGAGATGTGTTCAGGCCCATGCAGGGCCTGGAACATGCATCTTTTTAGTGTGGGATGGCCTTAGCTGTTGATAAAAGTGTCTCAGCTTGATTTTGGACAGGAGAGGGAATAACACTTGTGCTTTGTTTTCTCTGCAGATGAAATGCCCTACTTGAAATGTCCCCTTCACACAGTGTTGAAGCTGACCCCAGTGGCCTATGGTAAGTGGGGCCTTTCTACTAAACGTGCCAAGAGGTTTGACCTCCCGAATCCAAGCTGCCTCTGGGAGAAGAGCAGGGGGCTGGGGTGGAGCACTCTGTAGCATACTGTGCCCGTTGGGTTTGCTCATGGCCTCTCTGTCTCCTTGTGCTCCCTTCTGCAGGCTGCCGGGTGGAGTCCATCTCGCTGAACATCGAGGCGGTCAACACCCACAGGGAACGGCCAGAGGTGAGTGTTGCTTTTCCTCAGTGCCATCCCTCGGTGTCCCCCTCCTTTCCCTTGTGGTCAGCCAGCAGCGCGAGGATGCCTGGGGTGGGCACGGGGAGGTTGCTCAGCTGGATGCTCAGAAGTGCTGCTGGAGGATTGGAGCATCAGATGGGTTCTTGCTCTGCAAAGATGTGGCTGGTTGAGGGTTTTCCAAGGGAAAAGGACTGTTGCATCTGCCTGCTTCCCAGTGGTTTTGCCCAGATTAAAGCTGGTCCAGGGAAAGGTCCTCTCTGGTCTTTGGCTTTCACCTGTGCAGTCATTGCTTGCCTGAGCAGGGAGTGGAGCCACAGATGGAGAAGGTGACTTCTCCCAGGTCTCCCAGCTGGCTGGCAGAGCCTGGGCTCAGCACCTTGCCCAACATCTCCTGCCTTTGTGAGCTTTTTTGCCTGGGATGCCCTTGGCTCTGTGGGGCTACTGGAGTGCTGTTCTGTAGTGGGGGTGTGGTGTGTGACAGCACTGTGGATACTGTGGGGAGAAGACCCCTCATGGAGGAAACCTCCTGTAGGGTTGGGTTTATCTGCCACGTGCTCCGTCAGGAGCTCGGAGGTGAGAGCAGGGGGGCACCAGCTTGGTTGGGGTTGGGCAGCCACCCAAGGGGGACCCCAGGGACCCTGGCAGTGCCCATGTCCCAGCTGCTGGGACCTTTCCAGCTTGTGCTTAGCAGTGATGGAGCCCAACTGGAAGTTGGACAGTCAGAGCAATCCCCTTCTGGCCCACATCTCCTTCTTCCTTTCACTTCCCAACCTCGGCAGTGGCAGTATCTGAGCTGCCTCTCCCTCCCCGTGGCCGTAGAAGGGGAAGCCAGTCCTTCCCCCTGCCACAGGGGCCATCGATGCCCCCCTCCACCGCCGTCCCTGGGGTTGGCAGAAGGACCATGCGCTGTGGGGTAGGATGGAGCGAGACACGTGCGAAACGCTTGGGTCCCTCTGCTCGGCTGCGTGGCTGCTGACCCTCCATCCCACCTCGCTTGAGTTGGAGCTTGGCGTGGTGCTGACCCTCGCTGCCTGCTCTGCCCCCACTTCCCAAATCTTCCTTACCAGCCTGGGCTGGCTCATTTTCCCTTTTCTTGCTTCACACCCCTCCCTGGGTCAGAGAACCCAGCTTTGAGGAGGATGGGCACCTCTCTCTGATACACAGAGTCATGGCTTTTGATTACTGCTAGGTGTTTTTTAGCAATCTGTATTTGCTTTTATTGTGAACAGAGGCTCAGGTGAGGAGAGAGTCTGTCTTCTTTCCAAGTGCAGGGACTTTTTGGTTTTTTCCCTTCTCTTAGGAAATCATGCTGTGTTCTTGAACATTCTTCATTAGGGTTTTTTGGTATCCAGAGCCTTTCAATTTATCCTTTGCATGTTGACAGTGATTGTGGGAAAAAGCAGAGGCCACTTTAAAAAAAAAATCCCAAAACAACCTGCTTCTTTTTTTTTTTCTTTATAACTGTCGCCTTCTTCCCTTTTATTTTATTTTATTTACTTTTTTTTTCTTTGTCTCACTTTAATTTAGGAAGCAAAGAAGGGACCTAACCCGCTCATGAGACGTAATAGCGTTACCCCTCTAGCAAGCCCAGAGCCCACCAAAAAACCTCGCATCAACAGCTTTGAGGAGCATGTGGCTGTTTCTTCCACCCTGCCAGGCTGTGTTCCTCAGGAAGTGCCCACGCAGCTGCCGGGACAAGTTAGTTGAACTCTTTTTTTTTTTTTTTTAAATTTATTTTTTCTGTTGTTGTTCTCGTTGTTTTATTGTTTGTTGTCCTCCTGTCGCTCCTGAAGGTGGGAAAAGGCTTGCACTTGTCGCAACCTGTGCTGCTGTCTGAGATGCATCTTTCTCCCGTGGCTGCTGTCACTCCCTACCTGGGGTTGGTTTCGGGAGCGCCTGGCGAAGGGTCACTATCGATCCTCTCTTGGGTTTTAAGAGCATCATAAACCTCCCCAAAGCTCTAGGCTGCGTTAATTTAGTGCCTTCGCCATCTGACATTGTGGTGTCAACCTCCTAAGGAGCTGCATTTCTAGAGTGGACAGGACTGAAGGGCTCGTGCCTTCATTCCCCTGGATGTGCTTGGCTCTGGCATGGACCTGAGCGTTGCAATAAAGCAAATGTTCTGCTTTCCCTGAGAAGGAGCTGCGGCAATCATCTTTGACTGGAGGGGTCTCCTCCTTCCGGGGGCAACAGGCAAAACAGACCAAAAATGAGTAGAAGCCTCTTGTTATGGTGAACCCAGTTGCCTTCTGCAGCCCTGGGTGAAACCCTGCAGGTAGCTATTGTGATGCTTAAGTATCCTCTCCTCTTTCACCCACCCCTGAAGGGAGAGAGGGAGACCTGACTTGCTGCACTCTTCTCCAGGAACAGCTCCCCCTCCTCCCTGTGCTCATTAAGGAGCTGAGGTGGTACCAGAGGAGCAGCATGGATATATAGGAGCTCCTTCGCCATGCTGCCCTTTCCACCAGCTGCCTGTTGGATCTTGCTGTCTTGCCCAGCCCCTCTTGGCGTTGTCTGTGTTGTCTAGTGTCTAGCCCCTCCTCAGCCAGATCCCAGACAGGTTAGGAAGGGCGCTGTGCTCCTCCAACCGCTCTGCTTGGTAGCCGCTTTGCATGAGCCTTCCCACTCCAGCAAGCACCAAGTGGGGCAGCTCGGGCTGTCTCTTGGCATTTGGGACACCGCTTGGGCTGGTTGAGTCTTGCGACACACCCTTTGCCAGCTTTGGGTTTGGAAGCTCTCAGTGTTCAGGTGCCCCTTGATGCCGTCCGGTGACCCCCTGCCCAGTCTCGCGTGGCGTTACTGACACCTCTCTCCGTTCTCTCTGTCTCTCTGCAGCCTTTACTAGGGAAGGCATGCCTGTAAGTACTTTCTTGCGTCTTATTCCCCCTTTCACCCCTTTCCATGTCTCTTGCCATCCCACTGGTTGTTTTGTTGCTGTGAAACCTGACCGGGACGTGGACTTCTTGGCGTTAATATTTCTGTGGGGGGTGGATGGATTTGCTTATGTCTTTGGAAGGGTAAAGAAAAGACTGTGGATGCTGCTTTGTCCAACCCCTTGATTACATGTCCCAATTTTATTGAAAAATGAAGCAAATTATCGCTTGCCCTCTACTGATATCGTCTAAATTCCCTCCCTCCTACTTGAATAGTCACGGGATGGGAGATGCTGTTGGGTTTTCCTGGAGTTCCCTCCTCTGCGATAGCACATCATACTGTAGATGATAGATGCAGGTGGGCTGCCCTTCCCGGGGGGCTCCAGGTTGTGTCTGAGTGATGGCAGCAGAGAGATATCTGAGAAGGTTCTGACCTCAGCCCCCAGAAGGGTTTTATTGCCTGTGTTGGAGCAGGAGGGTGTTTTCTGGAGCTGGACTGATCCTAGGTCTTGGCATCTGCAGTTCTGCAAACTTGGACTTGGGGAACAGTCTGCCTAAATATCTTGGGCAGAGTAGATGCAAGGATATTGTCCTCCTCTACCTCTGTTAAGAAAGCAAGATACCTTGAGCATTTAATGCACTAATTATCAATAATCAAGGATTTGACAGTTCGGCTTAATGCTGTTAGATCCATGTGGAATAGGGACAGGACAGCTTCTGGACAAATACAAAGCCTTTGGACTTAATACATGCTACATCGTTGAGAGCAGCAGTCATTGAGCTGTGTTCAAATGTCTTCTCAAAGACCAGGGAGACTTTGGGGCTGAGCTGAGGCTGGGGTAGTGCCCAGGGGTCTTTTTGTCTCTACGGACTAGTTTGAATTATCCTACGTACACCCCTGTCCTGGTTCATTTTGTGGGCTGAAGATGGAGGGATTTGCTATAAAATGGCCAGGCCACAACTCAGCTGGTGAACTTCAGGTTTCTTCCCCTTTTAGAGTAGACATTTTGAGAAAAGGGAAGCTAAAGCCAAACTTGGCTTTGCTGGCTGATAGGTTGGGAAAGATAATCATGCTCATGCTCCTGGGCGAATGTAGAGGTTGAGTTGCTCAGCATGGCATGCATGTCTGTGTTCCTTCCCTTGCTGCTCATGGGCACAAAAGCCCCCGATGAAGTGCGTGGTCATCTTGGGTTGCTTTGAAAGCATTTATGTCTCTTTGTCCATCCCTCCATCCACCCTTTTCCCATCCACGTTGTAGTAAAAACCAATGCATGCTTCAATGCTGGCTAAGATACTGAAAACATGCTCTGATGTTAAGTTTGGGAGATGGCTCCATCAGATTTTGCGAGACCAGGAGCTCTGCTGGAGCAGGCAGTGATGGTTACCTATCCCAGGTGTAGGCTGTCAGCAGCAAGCTTAAAATCTCTGGCTGCTGGGAGCCTGCCTCCACCTACTAGTGTGGGACTGAAAGCCTACTTCTGAGGAAGCCATGAGGACGCCCCAAAGCAAAGGCTCGGTGGCGTTCACACTGCTGTTGCCTTTCTTGGAGGCTGTTGTCCCATACATGTGTGCATCTGCTCCCTCATTGTGTCCCATCACAACCTGTACGGGGTCAGGGGAGGTGGAAGGTACCTCCTTCCCAATTTATACCATGGAGGACTTGGTTGGCAGTGGGCACTTTGTTGCATCAGCCGTCAATATTGGGGTCTTGACTCCCAATCCAGGAGGACCAGGGGACACCTGGAGAGGCTGGGGACATGGCTGTGTACCTTAGAGTCCTCCTGGCTGTGGGATCGAGCTGGTTTGGGGTCATGGGACTACCTGGCGCGATGATTTATTTTCCTTTTGCTTGGTTTGTGATCCAAAGTGCACTTTTTAACAACGACCTGATCCCTTCCCTTCTTCTCCCCTTCACTTTTCATGCTTAAAGACGACCCGTTTGTCACTTTCTCAAAGTTTTCTCTTTACTAATATTTCCAAGGTAAATGGCTGTGGTGCATGTGGCTTTTCCTCACCCTCTTCCTGTCTCCTGAGAGAACAGCTCAGCCCACTCTGCCTCCTAGTGTCACCAGGATTCCTGGTGCTTATAAGAGGTAGTTTAGGTAGTAAAAAAAAAAAAGCTTTCCTAGCTGTTTCCTAGTCCTCTTTTCCCCACCCTATTTTGTGTATTTTTTGTGAATTGGGAAATGTCCCCATGTGATCATCTCCCCTTGGGTTTCTCCTCTAGTGGACGTTCTCCTCCAGCCACCACTCCCGGGGCTGGTCCTGCCTCTGTTTAGCTGGTCGTCTCTGGTTTTGTGGGTGCCTGTTGCTGCCACCCCGCGCCAGGACTGTGTCCAAAGCAGCTCTAGGGCCTGTGAAACCTCACAGGGTGTCAATCAGGGGAGCGGGTGCTCCTGCTGTACTGCTGCTGGCAGCTGGTCCCCACGCTGGCTCCTTGGTGTGGCCAGCAGAAGCTGCATCCCCTTGGCAGTGCCAAGGATGGACAATTGGTGATGTCCTTGGTAGGCAGGGGGGGACACTGCCCACCCTCAAGGAGAGCAAGAGAGGGAGGGATGTTTCATGGGGCTCCTTGAATGAACACCATGGTCCTCTGTCACCTTGTCTTGCAGGGACCAAAGAGCAGCTTCAGAAGGGCAGACCGGGTGGGGTGGGAGGGGTTGCCTTGTTTTTAGCTCAGTTTTTGGGGATATGTCTGCCAAATTCTCTGCCAAATTTAGGGTTATCTCTGTCAAACACTGTAGTTAAAGCTGTGTGATGCTCAAGGGGAGGGATGTGGGTAACAAGTCAGTGCATCCTCCCACCTCTCTCCTTGGGTGGACGGTGTCCTCTCCTCTGGTGGATGCTTTTGTAGTGACCCGTGCTGTGGCTTTCTGTTCCCCTCCCCGTCCCCTTGTTGATGTGTCTGCAGAAGATGCTGCCGGGATGGGGTGCGACCCGAGCGCAACCCCCAACCCCGGTCCTTCCCCTCTCGTTGCAGAACATGAACAACTCGCAGAAGCCGTCGTGACTCCGTTGGCGCTGTCGCGAGGCCACCAGCGACGCCACTGGCGCCGTCAGCTTCCCATCCCATCGCCATTTCCGAAGCTTGCTTATAAACCGGTCTCCTCCGTCTGCGGCGAGGTCGACCCTCGGCTGCTTCTACCCATGCCTGTTCATCTGCAAACTGCTCTGCTGAAGGGGGGGAGATGCAGGAGAGCGGAGGAGAGGAGCCAAGCTCCCCAGGGTCACCACCAGATCTTTAACCTGCAGCATTTGCTCTCCTCTCTGGCGTCCTGTTAGATCGTAGCAAGCTGTAAAGTGCTTCTAGCGCACAGGAGTTTAATTTTCCTCTGTAAGTGGTTTTGATCTCCTTTTGTATAGACGATTGGTACCCATCCATCTCCGGGTGGGATGTATATATGTGGATGGTGCGGGGTTAGCAGAGAAGTAGGGGGAAGTGGGGGGGGGAGCAAAGAGGTTTTGCATTTTTTTATCGTTATTATTAACTACTTTTGAAGAAAGCCCCTGATGCGTTGTGCTGCAGTGATTTACCCATGCTACAGACCGTTGCACACGCAAAGCCTGGCTCACCCAGGCCTGCGAGCACCAGAAAGGCAGTTGTGGGGAATCCTTCACCGCAAGAACTGCTGGGTTTAAGAAAAACAAATTAAAAAAAAAAACCCACAAAAACAAAAAAAACCCCAAAAAACAAACAACAACACAACAAAAAATATATGGGTCTTTTTTCTTTTTTTTGAATCAATACGCTTTTAAGGGGTTTGCAGAGAGTATAGATCTGCTTCTAAAACCAGTCACGAGCTGCCTGTAGTGTAAGAGGAGTCACGTTGATCCTGGCTCCCGTGATGCTTTCATCTCGGGGAGAAGCCAGGGGATGCTCGTGAGTTCAGGCGAGTGTCGATTTTCTGGGGAGACTGAGCACTTGTTGAGGTGCTGTGCTGGTACGTCATCTTCCCTTTCCTCTGCCTTGGAGGAAAGTGGAGATTCTTTGGGGAAGGGAGATTTGAATCCCTGCGTCACTGCAGGTGGACAAGCTGAGCTTTAGACGCGTTTTACAGACACACAGGTCTCGTGGAGGTGGCCAGAGCTTTGGCCAGGATGCAGGAGTCCCTGTGTGACTGCAAAAAGCCACAAGAAGGGACAGTTTTGTCTGTTCTTTTTTAATTTAATATATACATGCACACGTGTGTGTGTGTGTATACCTAGAAACCGCTTGGTTTTTGCACTTTATTTGTGGCAGGAGCATAACTATTTTTTTGAGTCGTGCCCCTTTACAGGGGAAGCCTGAATACAGGCAACATTTTTTTTTTTTTATTTTGCATGCTGGAAAGCTGAGACTACAAAAAAAAAGTAGTTATGGCATTCAAGGTGTGTGTGTGGGGGAAAATGGGGCGAGGTCCTGAATTAGACTCCATCAGCCAACTCTCAGTGGTTTGATACACGAGATCCCTTCTTGGCAGCCTGTCCCAGGCTGCGAGACAACAGTTAAAAATGGCATTTAACCACTATTGCTTTGTGCAAAAGTCTGTGGATTTTTTTTTTTTTTTTAGAGCTTTGGGTTGGGGTCTTTTTTTTTCTTCCCCCTACTCCCCTGTGCAGCAGCATCTCCATCCCCATCTCGTGGTTTTTTGGCTGCACAGCTGCGCTGGAGGCAGGTGGTGAAGGCAACCAAGTTCTCTTGCAGCACTGGGCTGGTGGATTGGAGATGAGCAACCCTTTGGTTTCATCCTTCCCATGGCTTTCTCCAACCCCCTGGGTAGGAAACAACATCCCTACAGATGGGAGCAGAGTGGTTTGGGGAGAAACGATTTTTTTTTTGTGTGTGTGTATATGTTTTTTTGGGGGGGTTGGTCTTGTTTTTCCTTTGGGAAAAGGCGAACCACAGTGCCTAGTGCTTCAGCCTCGTGCAGCCAAAGCGTGTGCTCGAAGCAGCACCCATGGTGGGAGGGGGCTGGGATGTGCTCGGTCTGTATCTGACCGGGGCAGACAGTCTCAGCAGTGCCCTGCCTGTGTGAGCTTGTGCATATGTGTATTATATTCCTGTACAGATTAAACAAAGAACACTTCCCCCCTTTTTTTTTAAATAATAACTGCATTAAAAGCAGACTTCTCCCCGTGTGCACAGTGGACATCTGTCCTTTCGGTTTCTCTGACTTGGAGAAAAACAAATGTTTTGGGAAGGCAAGTCACTTGTCTTTTTGGCCAGCTTCCTTAGGGAGTTTTATCTTTCACCTCCTGCTACAAAAAGATAAGCCGTCTGGCTGCCCCGTGATCAATCCTGTAAACATGTAATTCTGCAGTTGTTTTGGCGTGTATTTGTGTGTATATACATTTTTATATATATATAAATATATATATAAAAAAAATCGAATGGCTAACTTGATGACCCTAAACTTTCTTCCTTTGGGAATAATAGAAGTCTCAGTAGGTCTACAAAAAGATTAAATTTGAACCTGGCTTTTTTTTTTTTCTCCAGCAAGGGAAAAATTGGTTTCTGAGCAGCAGAGAAGTTCTCTCATGCTGGAGGGCTTAGCGGTAGGTGGGATGGTGTCAGCCCCATGCCATCACACTGCCACAGAAACTCCCTGCCCATCATTTTTGGTTAACAGAGCCAAGGACCAGGCAGTGATGCTGCAGCAGGGTGGGTGGGGAGAGGGGACTTGTCAAACCACACCAATGATTTCTTCCCCCCTCTTTTTTCCTGGTTTTGTTTTCCTTTGTGATACTTGAATTTATTTTTTTATTATTTTTTTGATAGCGAAGCGCTCTTTATTTATTTAATGTATACTGCAAAGCTTTGAGAGAAGGGTAGTTACTTGGGATTTTTTTTTTCCTTTGGATTTGTGGTATGTTAACTGTTCTGTATATACGTCTGGAATAATTGCCTGATATAAAGCTGTGCCAGCTTAAAAACAGGGTATGCCTTTCAGAAATTTGTATATTTTGCAGTTGCTGGACCAATAAAATATCTTGTTGAAATACAGATGTGACCTGGTTCTTCCTTCTGTTGGGACATAGGCTCTCAGGCCCATCTCACATGCAGTTTGGTGGCCCCAAGGGTGACCATGTGCCATGCCTTGCACATACCTTCATGTGCCTCATAAATCTCTCCTGATTTCACAGTGGGTTTTCTGAGGAACATCTTCAAGGGAAGCCACTTGGATCCCATGGTATGATACTTGTTTTTGGTTTTGTTGGTTTTTTTTTTTTTTCCAATGTTACAGTAATTTCGAAGAGCTCATTGGTGGAGTTGAGGGTGTCATTCCTCCAACCAAGTGTTGACACCTAATCAGGGCAAGCACGTACCCCCACAGCTCTACCCACTACAGGAATATGTCCTGCCTAAATCTTCATCTAGGCTGCAAGCTAGGCAGGACTAGGCATTTATGGAGACCTAATACAGTTGTTGAAACCAAACACCTGTTTAAAATGATTTGGTGCTAAATGAAGCCAAAGGGCTGGACAAGAGCTGTCCTCTAAAAGTTGCTGTCTCTGTCCTGAAGGTAGGAAAACAGCAGATGCCACCTGCAAGCAAAGTTTGGTTTTGGTGGTGTGGGTTTTTTTTTTTTCTTGTTCCAGACAAGAGGGGGAAGGCAGGGAAAGGTGAAATTTGAACGTGATGCTCCAGCGTGCATCTTGGGTGGATGCTCCCCATGTGGTTGGAGGCTTGTCTCCCTCAAACAGTTGTGCCTCTGAAAGCTTCTTAGTAGTGAAATGGGGAAAAAAGGGGTGGATCACTGCTGTTCAAGCTCATCTCTGTGGTTCAACACTGTTTGGCTGATGTGCAACTCTTGCTCTGATCTTCACTGGGCTTTTGGAGCAGGTTGAGTCTTGCTTTGGCTGGGGTTTGCTGGGATGCACAGGGGGGCCGTTTGCCTTCTCCCTTCTGATGCTCTGTGCAACAAGGCCCCTCACCAGGGAGAGGTGGTTCTGATTTTAAGCTTGACTGAGGCATCTGCAATTTCTTACAAGGTGTGCATGCAGATGTGTGAGGCTTGAGGGTGATGCTCATCCCTGCAGGCATCCTGGGGGCAGGGAGGAACTGTGCTCTAGGGGAAAGAGAAACCACAAGATTTTAAATTTATTTTTTTTTTAATCTCCAGCAACCTGTCTGTCTCCTTGACCTAAAGAGAGATGAAACACTCCTGCCTTCTTTTAGGGCAGAGTGTCCTGCAAGGATGTGGGGGCTTCAATAACACCACCAGCTGTGGTGGGCTGAGATTACGTGTAGCCACAACAGCAGTGCTGCTCCCCTGCCTTCCCCGGCTGGGCAGGGACTGTTCTGAAGCTGTGATGACCTTGTCCTTGCCAGTGGAGCACGGGGAGAAAGGCTTTGCCTCCCGGAGCGTGGATGCGGGGCAGCGTTTTCAAGGCAAGAAAACACTCCACTCATCCAAAAAAATATTTTCTCCTTTTTTCTGCGTGCAGGGGGCACGATGGGGCTTGTATCGTGTTGTCCATGCAGGAGAGTCATGTAAGGGAGGGGGTTCATGGGCCAACGTCATCCCAGGCAGCATCCTTTATTTTTCTTCCATGTGATGCATTTTGTAGCATCACAGAGAGGAGATGTTCCTCGAGGCAGGGCGGCTTTAAAGGTTATATTTGACAGCAGGAACATTTCACTGCCCCCAGCCAAGTCCCATTTTCATTAAAAAAATATAAAGCCCCAGCTCACTGCTGGCAAACAAGGCTAGAGAACTTGTGATTGCTAAAAAAAAAAAAATAAAAAAGGACAGACCAGTCACGCTGGCTGACTCAGCTCTGATTGATGGCTCAGGAATGTGTCTGATACGTGCAAGGGCTTAAATAAACTACAGGCAAACCTTTACAGTGCAACATGTTGGATGAAGCACAGCCGGCACCCTGCTCACCTGCCTCCGGCTGGGGAGTGACTGCCATCGTGTCATGGGATTGGAGGGGGGTTTCTTTTTTTTTTTTTTTTTCCCCTACTTGTGGGGGGGGAAAAAAAAAAGGATATTTTGTGGTGTTGCTTTGCAAGGAGAAACAACTTGCTGCTTGTGGCTCTAATGGAAATTATTTGCAACAGCTCCAGGTATCTAGAGGCCTTTGTGCGCTTTTGCCACAATGAACACGTCCTGGGAAGGAATATTTTTCTATTGTAATATGGAAAATTTATCTTGTGGCTACGCACAAGCCTGTGTAAATCACAGTTTTGCTTCTCTGTGCCTAAACCCTGTGAAGTGTTGGGGTCTCCTCCTCATTCCCAGGGTGCACTCAGAGCCCAGGCTTTGTGGCTACGGGAAGGCTGTGTGGATGTGAATGTTTGATCCTTTCCTCTCCCTTGCTTGTGTGTTCATCTGTGTCCTCTCTCCTCTCTGAGACCGAGGGATGTGATGGAGCAGTGCCAGGCTCCTCTCCCCGAGCTGCCCCCTCTCCGGGTGAAACAGCCTATTCTCACGAGTGTTCACGCTCAGTGTGGGTCTGCGGGGACAAAAACTTGTTCCTGCCAATTCCATGCTCCCAGTAAAATCCTTCTGTTGTGGCTCCTACTGCAGAGCCTAAGTCCTTCTCCTCCAACCTCATCCCTGCCCACTGAGGGGTCCCCTGGCCCTGGCACTGCACATCTCTGCCTGCATCCCCAGTCAAATGGACAAGGGTCCAACACTGGTCCCATCCTTCAGCTCATTTGCCTTCAAGGGTGTCACCACTAGCTGCTGGCTCCCCTTCTTCCCAACTGCCCATCATGGCACTGAGAGGCTCTTCCACCCTTGGTCATACATGCCTTGGCTTTTCATGGGGCAACATCCCACTAAAAGTAGATGGGAAGACCTACCATGCTGAAGTCCTACTCTTTCCAAAAGCCACACAGACTTTTTTTAGAACCTCTCTGAATTTAAAAGGTCAAGTAAAGAGGATGCATCTAGAAGGAAAAACAAGGGACAACAGTAGCTGGGCTACCAGCACCAACCATCCAGTCTGCAGCTGGACCTGCTCAGATGCTCCTAAACCCCATGAGTTGGTCCTGCTGGAGAAAACTCCAGGTGCAGCCCCTCCTGTTACCCTTCTGACTGCTGCAGAGCATCCTCCCAGCCCTGCTTCCCCATCTGTGCAGCAATGAGGAGCAGCCATCAGAGCTGTTTGAAAACAATTCTGCCTCTGAGCTGCTGCTTAGAAATAGCTGGCCATGAACATATACCTTGTGACAGCCCATCGCAACTTCCTGGATAAATACATAGAAGGGATTTTTTTTTTTTTTCAGAGGAGAGATCAGTTGAGAAATCAGACTGTGTAATTTCCCCAGCCATGTGCTTTTTCTTACTAATCTCTTTCCTCCTGGGGTATGACCTGTTTGCTGTGGATGATCTGGCCTGTTTGCAGAGATGCAGTTATCTGCAGGCATGGCAGGATTCAGGGGAGACCTTAAAGGTTTGGTCATTGGGCCTCTGCTGGCAGTGCTTCTGGGAAGGAACTGGTTGGAAAAAAGTGAATTGAAACTGAAAATAGTTGTCAACAATGCTAGAAGAAATTACATCACGTGGAAGGAGGAATAGTGGTAAGAGTCAATACCAAAAATGGTTGACATACCCCTGGAATTTATGTACAGTGCCTACATCCACAAAGTTGGCTTCATGTCTCTCATTCCCCCTGAAAGTGCCTTGTTGCATCCTGCTGATCTTCTGTCCTGCTCCATGGTCCACCCCCAGGCCCTGTGCCTGGTCTGGGGAGGCCATGAGGGAAACCAGCCCTTGCTGCTGCTGGGGCCAGGCTGGGCTCTGTGTCCAGGGAAACCTTTATCGTAAGGTTTGCATCGTGCTTTCCTTGTGGTCTGATGCACCAGCCAACACATGCCAAGATGAGACAGTCCACAGAGCAACGGAATACAAAGGAATCAGTCAATGCTGTACTGAGATTTGCCGGGCCTCAGATCTCCTGGTAGTCTCTTCCCTCATGAGCCACCACATCCCTTGAGGTCCCAGAGCTCCAACCCAACTAATGATGCACTAAACACCTCGAGGGGTCTTCCTGAATGTTATCTCCAACGATCCTAAGGGAAATCCAATTTGCAGCTTGATAAGACCATGACGAGGTTACTGAGTCTGCTGAGCTTCATGACACACTAGACAAAACCCAACTGATGCTTCTGTCCACCCAGCTTGTTGGCAAAGATAATTGGTAAGAAGATAATTTCTTGCTGATCTAAGAAGACTCAGAGCTAGCATGATCTCAAGGGATGGTGATGAGACAACATTTAGGATCACACAGGCTTTGTGAATTTTTTCTCCCTCTAGTACAAGGTACAGACTCATATTGCATCCACTTCTAGTCAGACACCCAGCAAACATTATTTGGTCTTTACTGCCACAGGAGGTATCTGACTGCTCTTTACTGAAATCAGTGTTGGCAAAAATTTGTACCAAGTGGTGGCTTGGTGCAGAAGTTAGAAATGTGGATGGCAGCAGAGGTTGTGACCAAAAAGCACAGCTGAATTGGAGCTATGAAGAGAAACAGTAATTAAGACCTAACGAATAATTACCATGGTGAAGGGCAGCTCGAGAACGAGCACAGCCCCAAAATCCAGATATTTCTAGCTGCAGCGCAAACCCCACAATTAAGCTGTGATTTTGGTCGTTATGAGGAGGTATTTCCAGAGCTGGGTCTTGCCTTTTGCTGCCTTTATCCACCAAAACAACTAACTCAGTCTCAGCAGAAAGAAAACCCAGCATTTTGATAAATGTCATCCAAACCAGACTGGAGAGCCTGCGCTGGATGCCTCCACCAAAGCTGGATGCCAACCTGTGGGCAGAGCTGCCTTTTCCTGATGAGAGAGGAGAAGGCTTTCTGTCTGGTGGGGGATGTGTTGGTTTAGGGGAGGTGGGGGGTACCTAAAAATACTGATGTCCTCCCTTGGTGGGAGCAGGAGTCCTACCATATGGTGGCATGGAGAAGCAAATGTCACCATGCATTTCTCTGGGTCTTGGCCCACCTCTACCCACTCATTACTCCAGGGCACCGATGCACAGT